AGAGGATGTTTAGAGCTTTGTTTCTTGAAGAAATATGAAGGATTAGGCTTGTATTTATAGTGGAAGATGTTAACTAGCCGTTGGAAAATGATTAGGGTTTATTTAATTCAAAATCACAAATCAGGAACAGTAACCCAACGGTCACGGTAGGCCGGTGACGTCCTCACGGTAGCATGGTACCGTGCGTACGGTAGGGGGTACCGTGAGTGGCGGTACCTCGGTACCCTGTAACACTGAAAACCAATTCGGCTCTGGCGGGACCTGGATAGGACGGTATGGGGGGTACGGTGTAGGCGGTATACCCTACCGTTTGGGCGGTATTGGGTACCGCTAGGGGTACCGTGACTCTGTTCTGATTTTTCCAAAATTCCCTTAATCCTTCGTATTTGAGTTTAAAACCTTTTAGATGTTTGAAAATGTTTATGGGATGGTTTTAAACATATTTTGTGAGTGCTTTTGAGCTTGTGAGTATAGGTATATAAAGTCATATCCTTACATTGGTTTCTACCTATATTCTACGCTAGTTTAGTGTTTCGACTTCATTCTTGAGTGCCGAATCTTAATGAATTCTTGTTTTTCCTAAAACACTTAAACAAATGTTAAGTTATTATATTGTTTGTTAACATCAAAACATGAGGCTTAGCAAACCAAGGCTAACAATCTCCCCTTTTTTGATGTTGACAAACAATATACTTCAAAGTGAGTTAGGCGGGAGTAAAATAATGAAGCAAGCAAGCTCCCCCTAAGAATAAGCATATTGAAAATACTCACTTTGAAATTTTCTTATGTTTATTAAAAGTTTAAGTTTGATACAAATAGTTACACAAGAATGCATTCAAGTCAAGTTGCATATGCACCACTTTGAAGTATACATCTTCTCCCCCTTTTGTCAATTCAAAAAGGGTATTTTGAAAATTTTAACCATGTATAACTTCTTGAAACCCTCCCCCTATCAAAATGAATTTTTAGGAAAAATGATAGTTTGGAGATCATTGGTCAAAAGGTGCATTTACAACTAAACTTCCCCTAAAAATGAAAACTCTCCCTTAAATTATGCAAGTTTTTAAAAACTTTATTTTTCAGGGATTTTTGGGGATTATTTTATAAAAGGCATGATTTAAAATGGATTTTGAAAATATTATTTAATCATGCAAACCAAGGTTAAAACAAATAAAAGCACGTATGGGATAAGGTTTTACTTTTTGAAAAGAATTAAAACCAAACAAAATATCTTATCTCAATGAGCAAGAGAAACCTACCTTGGCTTATGACACTCTTTTTTTAGCTTTGAATATACTTCTTTCCTCTTCACATATTTCTTCCATTTGAGGAAATCCGTATACTTCATTCTCATTTTCTTCTCTTCATCTTCCTCATCATTTGACTCTTCCGAGGAGCTTGAGTCACTTGAATCACTTGACTCGCTTGATTCTTCACTTGACGAGTCTTTGGAAGCTTTGAAGGCATTTGTAAGCTTGGGATTTTTACGCATTTCTTCCTCTTTGATCTTTCTCAACAAAAGTTCGTGAGAATACAAGGAAGACCAAATGTGGGCGGTTTCGGCCTTATCACATTTGGGTAATAAATCTACGATACTAATATGCCATTCTTTAGGTAAAGAAAATAAAATTTTTGTATTAAGCTCGGAAGTAGTATACGTCTTACCCAACTTACTTAACTTATTGACGATTTCATTGAACCTCTTATTAATATCTTAAATCGTCTCACATTGCCCTTTCTTGAACGATTCATATTCCGAATTTCCTGGGGCAATCATCGTTTGCTTTGTTGAGATGTCCCCTTCGTGAGTGGCTTCTAATAGATCTCATACTTCCTTGGCCGTTTTGCATGTACTCACTCTTGGAAATTCGTCGGGGCCAAGAGAGCAATGAAGGATGTTGATTTCCTTTGCATTCATGGATAACCTTCTCTTATCCTCCGAAGATAAACCTGCAAGGTTACCACTACTCGGCACAAATGGCCCGTGAAGTACATTTAACCATAAATCGAAATCAATGGATTGTATAAAATATTCCATCCGCATTTTCCAATAAGAATAATTTTGGCCGTTGAAAAACGGAGAGCGGTGGACGCTTTGATAATCCATTTGGGCCATATTTCAATAAATTTGAATTTTAAAAAATTGAGAAAATAAAATTTTGAGATTTTAAAAATTCAAATTTAAAAAGGGACACAACAAGTAGATCTTTGTCGTAGATGCGGTTAAGCACTTTCAACTACGAAACTGCTCCGATACCAATTGTTATTCGTTTTAGACGTTGTGCCCATGCCTTAGAGGGGGGGGGGGTGAATAAGGCGCTTGAAATAAAAGCGTAAATAAAATGCACACCGATTTTATACTAGTTCGGGAAGAACACAAACAAGAGTTCTACACAACGGCTTGAATATAAAAATGAAGAACAAAACTTAGTCGGTGTAGAAGGAAAGTATACTCTCTCAAAAATACAATTCAAACTTATGAATATGAGAGTATATAACTAGAAACACAAGCTCAAAGTGTGTGTATAAAAATTAGGAATTTAAGGCTCTTAAAATAGCCAAAAATATTGAAAATAATTAATAGAAGGATGAACACACTTGGAATAAAAAGCGAGGATGTTTAGAGCTTTGTTTCTAGAAGAAATATGAAGGATTAGGCTTGTATTTATAGTGGAAGATGTTAACTAGCCGTTGGAAGGTGATTAGGGTTGATTTAATTCAAAATCACAAATCGGGAACAGTAACCCAACGGTCACGGTAGGCCGGTGCCGTCCTCACGGTAGCATGGTACCGTGCGTACGGTAGGGGGTACCGTGAGTGGCGGTACCTCGGTACCCTGTAACACTGAAAACCAATTCGGCTCTGGCGGGACCTGGATAGGACGGTATGGGGGGTACGGTGTAGGCGGTATACCCTACCGTTTGGGCGGTATTGGGTACCGCTAGGGGTACCGTGACTCTGTTCTGATTTTTCCAAAATTCCCTTAATCCTTCGTNGGAACAGTAACCCAACGGTCACGGTAGGCCGGTGCCGTCCTCACGGTAGCATGGTACCGTGCGTACGGTAGGGGGTACCGTGAGTGGCGGTACCTCGGTACCCTGTAACACTGAAAACCAATTCGGCTCTGGCGGGACCTGGATAGGACGGTATGGGGGGTACGGTGTAGGCGGTATACCCTACCGTTTGGGCGGTATTGGGTACCGCTAGGGGTACCGTGACTCTGTTCTGATTTTTCCAAAATTCCCTTAATCCTTCGTATTTGAGTTTAAAACCTTTTAGATGTTTGAAAATGTTTATGGGATGGTTTTAAACATATTTTGTGAGTGTTTTTGAGCTTGTGAATATGGGTATATAAAGTCATATCCTTACATTGGTTTCTACCTATATTCTACGTTAGTTTAGTGTTTCGACTTCATTCTTGAGTACCGAATCTTAATGGATTCTTGTTTTTCCTGAAACACTTAAACAAACGTTAAGTTCTTATATTGTTTGTTAACATCAAAACATGAGGCTTAGCAAACCAAGGCTAACAATCACTCAAACCGTGCGCCCGGAACCACAAGAGTATTTATACCCAGATTGGGAAAGACCACGGAACAAATTTTGAACCTGAAGAGAAGGGCGTTCGGACCCAGACTGGGGAAGTCTAATCGAGTATACGTCTACGGAGAACAACTCAGTATGATGTGAGGATAAAACATAAATGATTGAGAATAAGGGATGCCACTATTATCGTATAGTGATAGGTTAAATGAAGGATGTTGATTTACTATTAGATATGGATTTGTTTCTATATGAAATGATGGAAAAATGATGGTTTCCCAATCTGTGAATAAAGTGTATTTGGATATAATACTCTTGTTTTAATGAGCACTTTGGGTACGTATTATTATACGAAGAGATGCTCTTACACCTTGCCAGAAAATGAAGAATGTCATAATTTTATAATTAAAGGTTTCACAAAATAATAAATAAAGTGGATTTTATTAAATAAAAGGGTTTAAAAAGGGTATTGATTCCAGTATATGTGTTTTATGAATTATTCTACGAAATCTACGTTGTGGTACCACTCAGCGGTTTCACTAAGCGCACAGTTGTCTTTCTTGTGTGACTGTGCGTGGGTAATAAGCTATGGCGTGTCCATCTGAAAGATGCAGAGGCGGTAGAGTTGGCAGAAGGATGCAGGAAATGTTTTTAATAATTTAAAGTATTGTTGGACTTGAACTCATATATGTAAATATGTTGAATCTTATTTAGCTTCCGCAACATTTAAATCAAATTACTCCGAAATTTATTTTATAATATTTTGAGGAAACTATGTTTTAAATGTTTTTAAAATTACTATTACTATTGTTTCTAAAAGGTTATGGAATGTTACTTTACCAAATTGCTAACGCTCTAGTCCGCTAACCCGCGTGAACCGAGTAACGCGAATCGGGGTGTTATAGAGATCCATCTCCCCTTCAAAAGGATAGTTCTTAGATCCCCGTGTACACGTTTTTACCTGGACAGTCATTGCACCCAGCAGGTACCACATGACTCTAACTTACTAACTTATGGCATAACTTGCCACTATATTCCATTCAGGTAAGCTCCTAGAGTTCATTCTAGGTATTTCATCCTTTAATTATCAATAATTCATAACATACATGTTCATGCATCAATACATAATTCATCACATTCAACATACTCAAACAACGGCCTAACTCTAGGTATTAACACCCATGTTTACTGTCATGCAACACACAAAATCTCGGAATCGAGCCTTGACGCAAATAGCAATTTCAAACCAGTTCAGGTACCTCACGGTACCCTTGGCGGTAGGGTTACCGACCCCACGGTACTAGGGTACCGTCCCCACGGTACGTGGGTATCGACCATGTCAACTGGACACCCCACCGGTAGGCTGTCACACTAGCCTCTACCGACCTAGCGGTAGGCCCACACGGTACCTAGGCACCGTTTGATGACAGGTACTGGCAGAGAGAGGTGAAATCGAGGTAGCTGGCGGTAGGTACCGTGTCAACGGTACCTACCTACCGTTTGTCGCGGCAAATACCGGACTTGCACCAGCTCTGATTTTACCCATCAAACAGCACTAATTTTAGAAAAATCAAGCGTAAACAGGTTCTAAATCATTAATCAATTATCATCTCACCATCCTCAAAAGTTCTAATTCAAATCAAGCTTTTCAAAACGTAAACGACATAAACAAACATAATTCACGTATAATCCACGTAAATCAATCGTGACGATTCTGCGAACATAAGATTCAAACCTATGACTATAACCATGCGTTAGATGTCCACGTACTCACCTCGAATTTGATGATTAAAAACTATGAGATAATACCAACGAATGAAAGCGTCGAACTCTTCCTCTTTCCTTCTTATTCCTTCTTCTCCTTCTTCCTTTTCTCCTTCTTCTTCTTTCCCTCCTATGTGGCACTGGTGTGCTTCGTTCGAGAGAGAGACGAGAGAGTAGGGAGAGGGAGTTGGGTAAATATTATGGTGGCGTGAGGGTTTTGGACGTACAAGGAGTATATTTATACATTTTGGGGTTTTGGGCTCCGTATTAACTTAACGTACCTGGCCCAAGCGCACTTTTCGGGCCCACGGGCTCCAAATCCAATTTCGATTTCACCGTTAGATTCGATACGTCGAACCCTACACAACGGTATAGACCTTATTATCAAACCAAAAATATTTATAATTTCCACCAAGTCCGTCTCAGTAATTAATTAATTATTTTTAATTAATTAATTCTGATAGGCCGTGTTTCAGGGCGTTACATAGGCTGGATGATTTAATCTATCCGTTGAGGGGAATAGATTAACCGTTGCATTTGCTGGCTTCAATGTGAACAAAGGGGGAGATTGAGGATTGTCCTTGGAGTAATTTTTGGACATAAACACTTGTTTGAGAAGGGATTCCTTTGTCATAGAATTCGTCTTCTATATGTTGTTTAAGGATTCTGGATTGTAACTCTTTATTGAGTGGCGTTCTCATTTTGTCTTCTTGTACTTCAAGAGTTCTAACCGAGCTTTTCAATTTGGGAGTCCACATTTTGTCTTCTTGTCATTTGTTCTTGAATCAGCTAAGTTTTCCTCAATCTATCCATTGTAAATCAAGAGATTGATTTTTCCTTGCCAATGGGTAGAATTCCTTCATTCATGACTTAGATAATTTTTCTAAATCTTTTCTCACTTGTCCGTTCTGAGAGTTCTAGTCCACCTAGAGGCATCCGGCTCCTAGCTTGACAATTCCGGATTAGTCATCTTGAGACTTCCGGGTGAGAAAGAGCGATCCGCGCTAGTCTTCCTATCATGATGACTTAGTCTTCATGCGGATGGCTGCAAGACTTCCGGGTAGAGTTGAGTCTTCCGGTTTAAAAGAATTCCGAACTGCTTTGACTTCATTGAGAATTCCATTCTTGTCTCTGATATTTTTGAGCGAGAGTTCCAATTTCTGTATCACTGATTTTGATAAGTCTTCAAAGTATGAATACCCAAAAACTCAATATGAAATATTACAAGATTTTATTTGAAATCTCAAGAACTTAGTTTTAACATTATTTCTAAAAAGAAAATTACACTAAATTTGGAAGAGACCTAGAGTCTCTATTACAATCTAAATACATTATCATCAAAATCTATAATATTTTTCCCAACAATTTCTAACTCTCAAAATAATATTTAGATGAAGAGGATTGAAGCAAGAGTTTGAATATAAGAGAAGGATTGAATTAAGTGCTTGAATTGTATGTATAATGAAGGTAGAAGAGGGTTTATATAGGTGAAGAAAGGATATGTCCGTTGGGGCAAAAGATAAGGCTATACAAGAGGTGCAACGGACAAGAAATTGATTATGGCATATAGAGTGATATCGATTAAAAGGCTCTGTCAAAAAATCGATTATTTCCAAAGTGAATAATCGATTTTTAATGCCTGGGCGAAAAACTCATCTACGCATGAAGTAAAAAATTGATTTCTACAGAGTGAGAAATTTGATTTCTTGCATGAATAATGCAAAGACAACATGGACTCAATCAAGTGCGAGATGAGGAAGTACATTTGTCACTTTCCCATGGTTCCCAACAAGAAAACATGTACAATAGGCTCACTTTAATATCAAATTCATTCAAAAGAATTTGAATGATTTAAAGAGAATTGGGTGTAGAAAAGAGTCTGAAAAATATTTTTTGTTTCAAACGATGTACACAAAAAAAATATTCAAAATATATTTTTCTTCTCCATAAAAAATTTGTATATCTTAAAAGGATATTTTCAGGAAATTTTGAAACACTTTTTGTAACTGACCCAATAGAATATTTTTAGACAGAGAAAAGTTTATTTTTCAACTAACTCAAAAAAATAATATTTTTAAAGTATAACCTTCAAAAATAATTTGTTTAAGTGAAAAATATTTGTCATCCTTACAAATGTTCCTACGACTCAATAAGAATAAAAAGGCTTCGGAATCTTCACTTCACTTCAAAAAAAATATTCTTGCGTACGGATTGGAGCATCGAAAATTGACGTAAAATGCTTGATACCCCTCTTTGCTTTCTTGAAACGAAAATAAATTTGTGTTTGTCGTTGCGTTTGTCATTTATCAAAACCTGAAAAATAATATTAAAGAATATCCAAGAAGTTTGAACTCATGTCCAACAATGGGACTTGTTGGTCTTATGCAAGACAATCGATCACCCTTAGGGATTTGCTACTGTGCTTGTCGCAGTATCGGGTATTGAAAGCCTAACCTGACGAGGTACATAAGTCATGTATCTTGCGAAGCCCCTTCTGTCCATCCACCGCTCAGTAGTGGGGCTCCGCACTGCCATATTGAAGTGTAAGGGGTGCCCTAGAGGAATCTATCTCGACTTAGGGCTACAGAGAGATGTGGTTAAATAGTAAGTGTCCACCTTTCTATCACCAATTGGTTTTAGAAAGCATTTGACACCTTTTTAACTTTAGAACTTAGTAGTTAAGCATGCTGGAACAGGAGTAGTCTCAGGATAGGTGGCCTAATGGGAAGTTCCAAAAATCGATCCTACAAGAGTTGAGCTTTTATAACTCAAGTTCCAATACTTTTGTTTGATCCAAAAAACTGGCAAATTGCCTCCTTAAGGATTATACCTGGGCTTCCTTGGACTTCAGCTCTAGTTCCAACTCCTCGATCTTTGAGGACTCGGCGGAACCCCGTGATCAATCAACTTCTCTCTTGAGCTCTCCACACTTGATCTTCTAGAGCTCCCAGTCTTCATTCAATTGCCAATTAGCTCGCGAAGATGGGCATTTTCTTCCTGGGCAGCCCTGAGTTGCTCCTTTAGTTCTCGAGTCGCTCCTTCCTTCTTGCCCAGGAAAGAGTAGGCTTGAGAGTTCCAAAAGGAGGCTACCACGCATTTCTCAGTCAGCTTTAGGACGACGACATTAGCCTGAGAAAACGAGGAATTTAGATATATGGAATTAGCATGGAGATGAAAGTGCTAGAAGGAGATGGAGAAGTACTTGTAGTCAGAGTGGGGAAGGCTGCCACGTCCTGGTGATGCCTGATGTCACTGAGGGCTGGTCCTTTAGCTAGCTTTCGGACCCGTTCAATCATCTTCCTCCCCTGGGCATGAGCTTCCTTAGCAGATAAGAGACTTTCCTGAAGCGAAGCCCAGTTCTGTTTAAACAGATTCTGGGTCTCCATCGTAAATTTATAGTTGGCAGCGAGATACAAGTTTGCCTGGGCAAAGGAAGAGCCCTGCATGGGCTGACCGAAAGGAGCTAGATCCTTGGGGGATGAGGTATGGGTGCTAGAGGGGCAAGCCATTGTGATTCTGCTCTCAGATTGAACTACCTCTGGCCTAGTCGCCCGGCTTTCCCCTCCAGTGAGGATATCCATGAGGGAAGGGCGTGGAGTTATCTCTGCCAGAGAGGTAGAAGGTGCAGCATGAGAGGACTCCGGGGTAACTTTGCTCGGAGACCCCCTTGGTTTCTTTTGCTGAAGAAGGATGGTAGGGTTAAGTTGAATTGTTTGCGCTTCTGCGTACTAGAAGGCTTTTGGAGTATTAGACTGACGGGCAGGGTAGCACCGGCCCGAGTAGAGATCACTTACGGCGTTGGGGAGATCATGGGAGTGAAAGAATAAGTATGAGTGGCTTCTAGGCTTAGAGTACTGGAAAGGTCAAAAGGGCCATGCTCTGCTCGCGCCTATTTGGACGGGGGTTCCTGCGAACCCCTCATTTCAGCGCCTAAGGAGGAAGTTTGCTTACCTCTATCGAGGGGAACGGTTAGATTGTTTCTCGGAAAGTGGAAACCAACCAGGCAGAACATGCGATTTGTTTGAAGATTCTCATGTTCAATAAGGGCGTCGCTCTTCATCTCCTCATAGGCCTTATCGGCCCGGGAACCTCTAGAGTATGGGGTCCGTGAAAGGTTAGACCACAGTACTACAGAGGGTAGGTCTAACGGGTTGTGAATTAGGAATTCTATAACAAAAAGCCTTCTTTATCTATGCATGATTTTTAGCTCCACCTTCGTGGAAATGGGGCGCTTTTGATGCGAAAACACATTGAAGTAGGGGAAGGAACCACCAATGCTTAACAAACCTGAAGTCCTCAACTAAGGGAGGTTCTTCCCTTGTCCTAGCAACAAAGAATGTAGGAAGCATGGTATTTGTGGGCATTGACTATGAATTGCCCAAGAGGTATCTCCCAAGTCGTGTATACCTTGCAGATGAAGGAGTGCAGCTGGAGTCTGAAACCATGGAGGACTGAGTCATAGTGCATTACAAGAAAGCGCTTCGGCGTTGAATTATGAGCAAGATTGATTTCGCCCACGGCGGATTGATGATGGACTTTGAATGTATCTCTTAGAAGATCACACATGAGGACAAGCTCTGAATTCTTAATCGTGGAGGATTCAGGTTGTCATTGCTCTATTTTATAGGATTGGGAAGTCATACTGCAGAAATTTGAGAAAAGCTATGGATTGCAGAAGATAACTCTAAGATTGGGTTGCCGAAGTGGAGCGGGTTTATAGACGTTACGACTTGAACTTCGAGTAAGGAGTGGGATCATTTCTAATCCGGTACGATAATCAAAGGCGACTCATCATTAGTTCCTTGGTGACACATCGCTAAGGAACTAAGGGTTGTGATGGATATCTGGGCCCGATGGTTGCATAGAGATCGCCCAATTGTGATTCCACAGCCCAACAGTGATATAAATCTGAGTGCACAACGTAGAGTCAAGGTCCGAAGTTGGACCCAGAGTGTCGGGTCAAGCCTGATACTTGAATGGAGTGTGATTCCCCAAATCGTGGAATTGAGGCGAGGTTGATGACTGATTTCCCACCACGATTAACACATGATTAGAGAATTACCGATAATGTAGCGCACAAAATATTACATGCCTTGTATATGGTAGAAGCAAACTATAAATAGAGGACCCCTCCACTGTAACCCAAGCTGAATATAGCTAATACAAACACATAAGAGTTCTTATTTTCACCAATATTGTTCTTATTATTCTTCTGTTCTTCGCACGTCATAGTTGTTGGGCTACATCCCATCACGATGGATGGTTGAGAGAGATGATAGAGTGTTTTAGTCAATGAAAACACTTGAAATTTCCGAAGGACAAATGAACATAAATCCATTAAAATAATGATGATGAGTAATGTTTCTGCTAAACGAATGAAATGTAACAACAACAAAAAAGTAGGAACAATTATCAGTGTTATTTATATGCTAAAATCAATTATTCCTTCAGCAGATGGGTGCATTCTGAAGAGTACATGTTCGAGGCATTTGTATTGCGCAGATCACATGCTACCTTCCTACCTAGAAGCAGTCGACTTTCACATCTGTAACGTCAAGTTGCAATATCTCTGCTCTGCATCCAAGAATTGATCCTATACTGCAAATTAAATACATAGCCAACATCATATTTCTTTAATTTTCTTCGTTTGCATGGGTAGGAAATTCATTGTTTTGGACCCATTTTTGTATTTGAGTCACTCTATTGAAAGAAATTTCTCAAAAAAGTCCTTTCCTATTTTGGGCAGTTCAACCGAGTGGAAGCCTAACCATTTTATATGAGCGGATGTCCACAAAAACTGCCAAAATATGACTATTTGGGAAATATCTTTAAAAACAATGGGTGTCAAGTTTGTATGAGCGGATATCTGGAATAGTTTGCAACATGAGCAGACCATTTGGGGAAAATTCTCTATAAAATTTTTGCATTTCTTGCAATTCCATAATAGCATGAGCATCCTTTTCTTTTTTCTTCTCAACAATGTTAGCATTTGGGTGTGAAGAACTGAATTAACCACTCTTTGAATAATTGAAGGGCTGGATAAACACACATAAATGCATATATTGACTTGTGTCAAAAAAGGAGCTTACGAGAGATTGTCACATTTGTCAAAAAAGAAGGGCTGGATGACCACTTCTCCTAACGATACTGCAGACATTAACAACTTACCAAACAACTGCCATTAACATTTCACCATACCAAAGAGTTCTCTTACAGATCTACACACAACTGACACAAACTTCTACCCAGGCACAAGCAGCTGGCACAAACATCTAAATATTTAATAGCTAACAATTGGTCACAAACAAGGCCTGTGTAATTAGAATCACAACATGGTAAATCATTTGATGGTATGTGGTGTGTCAGTTTGTCATGTGCATTAAGAGTTGCAACATGATATTTCGTTTGTCGGCCATAATAAAATTGAATACAGAATAACAGTGTATTTTGAAATTAGAAACAAGTCTGGAGAAATATATATATATATATATATGTGTGTGTGTGTGTGTGTGTGTGTGTGTGTGTGTGTGTGTGTGTGTGTGTGTGTGTGTGTATAAATACTCCCACCATCTCATCGAAAAAGTCATGCTCCCCAACTTGTGCTTTTGCTCATAAGCAGCCCTATTTCTCATTTTGTTTGAAAATATACTCCCTTTGTCCCATTATTATGTTTCTTCTTTTCTATTTCAGCCAACCTAAAATTTTGTTCTACTTTCCTTTATGAAGCAAGGATTATGTAGTTCACCTTCTTTCTCTTTTCTAAACAAATTTCAATCACACAATTCCCACTTTATCAGAAAACTTATCAAGTCAAACACTGAACATAATTTTGGAACAAAGGGAGTGTGTATGTATAGTTCTTTCAAAAAGATGTACCTTACCAAAATATAAAGTTGTATGCTTATATAAGTACACTCTTTTTATGGGGCGGAGGGAGTATATTAATTCTGCCCTAGACAGCCCGGGGAACAGTCCATCCCTCACATGCGGGTATGGAGTATAGACAATGTGTTTTGGCCGGCAAGACGTGAAAAAGTTCACCTGACCCAGCTTTTTGTAAAAATTAATAGAAGGCCTGGATCATGGCCTGCCCATACCCGCTTTTGTACAGGTCTACGACTGCAATGCCCCAAATTGACATTGTGGGTCTACATGGCACTATCAGGAGCAATTGAAGGACAAAACAACAGTTATCCCTATGAAAAATGCATATTTATGTATGAGAGATTCATTATAGCCTTGATATGGCTTAAACTATTTAGAGTAAATTCCATAAAAGGTCCCCAGTTATAGGTCGTTTTACATATTTAGTCCCTACATATCAAATATTACTAATTTAGTCCCCAATTATTATATTCATTTCCACGAATGGTCCTTTGTTAACATTTCCGTTAAGAACATGGATAAAATTATAAATTCACACTCCTTTCTCTTCTCAATTAAACTTCCTCCCTCCCCTCGCACTCCTTTCCCAAACCCGTTGTTGAGTTTGAAGCTTTGAACCCAAAACCGAAATCATCACTCTTCTCTCAATTGTTTGTCTAACTGGTGGAACCCAAATTCAAAACCAGTAACCTTCATGAATGAGTTTTAATGTTTATTTTCTTTGCAATTTCTTGAGACTAACCGATAAAACTCATTCATAAAGCTTATTGGTTTTGATTTTAGGTTCCACCAGGAAGACTAATAATTGAGAGAGGAATGATCATTTCAGTTTTGGGTTTAGAGCTTCAAACTCGACGAGTTCGGGAAAGAGTACGAGAGGAGGAAGCTTAATTGAGGAGAGAGAGAAGTATGAATATACAATTTTATCCATGTCCTTAACAAAAACGTTAACAAAGGACCATTCATGAAAAATGATATAATAATTGGGGACTAAATTAGTAATATTTGATATCTAGGGACTAAATATGTAAAACAACCTATGACTGTGAATCTTTTATAGAATTTACTCAATTATTTAGTACCTCGGATGGGTGCGTCCAAGATCTCCATGAACAAATTCCTTAATGTATGTCCCAGCCTGACATGAATAAACATCATTACATTATACAATCAGCATCTCGTGAATCATGAAAACACTACAGTTTTGAAAATATGCTGCAGAAACTATATGAAAATTGTTGTTTCCATTAAACAAAAACCTCCAATTTCAAATTAATAAGAAAACACAACACAATTTTTAAAAAATACTCCCTCTCTCCCAGTGTTTTCGTCCACTTTTCCTTTTTAGGCCGTCCAAGTGTATTCGTCCACTTTCCTTTTGGGGTAAGTTAAAGGTTCTATAGTGACTATTTTGCCCCCCAAAAAATCTCCCTTTCTCTCTTTGTCCTCTCACCCATTTCAGCCTCCATGCCTCAATCTCTCCATCTCGTTCTCTTCTTTCTCTTTTCAATCACCCATTCCGTCATCAAAATTATCCCACCGCCACCAACCAGTGGCGATGGTTGCTCTTTGAGTGACATCGTCTTTGCGACTACGAAAGATAAAAATGAAGACAGACGAAGACATCGATTAATCCAGACTTTGGATTTGATGAAGATGGCATTGAGTTCAACTTTTGATTTAATAAAGATGATGGTGCACGTGGATCCATGCTTTTCTTGGTTGCAGATCTCTCCTTCGACAATCACAGATGGCAACCCTAGATATATACTTTTCTCGGTCACAGAGTTGTCCTCAGGGCAGCCAGAATTGAATATCAATGGATCTCCCAAAATAGAGTTGACAATGTGCCAAAAAAAGAGAGTTGACAAAGATGGCGAGGGATCTAAGTTTCTCTTTTTTTTGTGTTCACATTTTTTGCTCTTTTTTATATTCAGCATGAATCAGATCTAATGAAGATTTAATAGTTAATAAAAAATTAAGATTGTTTCAAAAGCAAATTTTTCATTTGAGTTGTGTTGTTGATTAACAATCGAACTGAGTTGTGTTCGTGGAGAATTATTGATTAACAAAAGCAATTCTGTTTTAATTCTAAAGCAAGAGTACATTGATCATATTCTCTTATTATAATCTCATTGGTCCAACTTCCAAGAACCAAAACAAAAACGAGCGAAAACACCGGGACGGAGGGAGTAGTTACTTAAACCAATAAATAGTAAAACAAAAAGGTAAATAAAGTATAGAAACAAGGAACCTGTGTGCATAGATGCAAAAGAAAATACTGAGAACTTCCTAGTAACCTCTCCAGTTTCATCCTGCAACAGGAGATCAAGTACATAGACATGGTTTAGCAAAAGAACTTCATATCACAATATGTTATTTTGAATAATTAATACCAATGTATGGTCTTTCCGCGCTCCAGTGGACTTCGACGGTGGAGAACCCTGATTGGTGTTTTCTGGACAATTTTCTAAAAAAGAGGCAGAAAAAAAGTTCTTGAATAAAAGAGCAAGTGAGACATATCCACCCAACTTGAGAATAATAATTTGATTTAATGTGGAGAAAGAATGTCCACATGCATATTCTAATATAAGACTACCCAAGAAAAGAGAAGCTAGGGAAAAGAAAAAGTAGTTTTTTGTCAACACAGATTCAGATATGCATTTTGTTGAACAAACATTATGCTAAGCAAGCAACATTCATAAGTATGATTATGCATGAAGCCATGAAATATGGTAGCGAACCATAATGCCATCAATCTATTTTTATTCCTTCTATATAGTACATGAAAACATTGAATGAGATGAATATCAATAAAAATAAGGTCAACAAAACACACCATGTCCTTCACTGATGATATCGTTTGCAAATCTTCATTGTTGATATCACGGGATATCCAAACCAAAGCAGAATACTGTTTCTACATATAATTAGAGAACATAGTTAATTTGATAATAAAAGTACTAAAACCAGAGATTGGTTTCTTAGGGCATACTGCATACCTGCTTCTCAGCTTCCCCTTCACGCATCATTGCCCACGCTTGGTTGCTTACAACAACAAGATTTTTAACCTTTACCTAGATGAACATCATGAACCAAATTTAAATCGTGAATATGATTAATATACACTCCTCCCTGAGCCCCCAATTTAGATACCCAAATTCCTATTTCGTCCATCTCAAAATTATCTTCACATTTCTATTTAAGAAAATATTTGTGTGGTTCATTAATTTTTCCTTTCTAAATAAATTCCAACCACATTAGTTTTTTTTAGAAAGAGTGCCAAAAGATTATGGTAATGCCAATTTGCGGGGTAAAGGAGTATCATGCAACCGCTCACTCCACCTCATTGTGCTCTTCTAGACACCTCCCCCTCCCAATCCCCCATGTTATGAGTCCATGGCGTTAATGGCATTGACGTCGGCAATTGGGGTGGTGTGGAAAATGGTGACACAGGCAGTCATGCTAGCTTATAGGAAAATAAACTAGGAACAAAGGCTGGATGTTATGGGGTTCTGTTCTCCTCAAGCAAGCTCTCAGGCTTCTGGATACCTCATTGTTTTCCAGTTATATAAGCAAAGCAAAGCCCCCTATGGTAACAAGGATTACAATCATAGAAGAGCCTAAAACAACGAATGAATGAAAAGGGAAAATTTCAGAGGAGACCACTTCCCAAAATAGGTAAGCCAATTCAATAAAATAAAATCATTGAAGTCGCATTAAAATAAAGGGGGCAGTTCCGTTGCCACTGGGCAATGGAACCACTGGTGGCTAGTGCCTACGGTGCTCCGTTTGCAAAATTGATGGTTCCCACCCCCAACCCCCTCTAAACCCCCTACCCCAGCCCCACCCCTGCCCCCTTCCAATTGCCTAATGACCACACATTTTGAAGGGGGCAGGGTCCGGCTGGGTTGGGGGTTTAGGGGTTAGGGGGATAGGAACCATCAATTTTGCGAACGGTGGCCGTAGGTGCTCCAAAAAGCAAATGCCACCGTTGCCTAGTGGGGCCGTAAAATAAAATCCCAATTCTGATCAATTCAATCAGTCACACCATTCTTGTTAATCATCTACTTGATTTCCATTTTAGTATTTCCATGATCTTACTCCGCATAACGTAGCATGCAGTACCATCCCCTTTCCCCCTCCCACCAAGAAAATGAAAGAATAAGATCATTTGTTGTTAACTTACATGTTGGTACTCCATAGAGTTTATTTTAACCTCCACATCTTTTATGACCCCCTCGGAAGGAATTTGTCGTGCATTTTGTATCTCAACTAAAAAAGGACGACCTGTACCCAACATCCGAACCTGAGGAGCAAAACAAAATGTGTCCCAGAATCTGAATACAGTAACCAATTGCCACACAAATATGACAAAATTTTCTTACATCAATATCCTCTCTACCAGCAGCATGAAACTTGTAACCTTCTCCCCGGCAAAATGGAAGGATGCTTTTACCCAATATCTCCTTCAGAAAGTATCAACTATCAGTGTCATCATTTTCCACTCACAGCTAGAGACTAATTCTAGAAGGGGTTTACTGTAACAAAAACTGAAGTACCTCAACAGATGCTTCACCCACTCTTTCATCATCAATAACCCACCGAGTCTGGCTAACATTTCTTGAATACTGCAGTTGCACAATGTGCATATGGCATCACATGAAACAAGGTCCAAGTAGAGCTAGTTGGTTGAAGTCTCAGGGGGTGTTCGGCAAAGAGTTCTTAGCTGTTTAGATAAGTTGTTCGTATTTTCTCTGTAGACTAGTTTTATTTATGGAGATATCTTACACCTTGCATGAAGAGAAGTTGAATAAGTTGTCAAGGTGCTACCCCTAGAGTCCTAGTAATACTGAAGGGGTGTTTCTGCATAAGTTACTAGAAATAGAAAAAACTAAGTTGAGCTTCTCCATTGGCTTGAGAGGTAGGAATAGGAAGCCCAATTCCAAAATTCATGGGGTAGCATAGTTGTTACGGCGACAAGGCGAGGCTGGGCGCTACACCACCTTCCAGACGCCTAGGCGATTAGGCGCCCGCCTAGGCGTCCCTTGGGCGAGTGGGATATGTCAATGTTGATATTTTTAGGTACGAATGTAAACACACATACTATGAAATAAATAAATAAAATGATTAAATAGTACAGTGATACTAAAAAAACAAGTACCAAAATGTTGATAATATATAAATAGGGAGTATAAAAAATTCAAAGAAGCAACTCATCAAGTCAGATACCAAACGAGATGAAGAAAAAAACCTTTAGGTATAGAATAGTACGAGTAATTAGAAACTGCAATATTCAGAATACTTCCCAGTACAGTACCCCCACTACTCCATCTCCATAAATGTACAGTACCCACAAAGTCTTGTTTCTTTTAATTTTTAGAGTAGTTCCCAGTGTACAGTACCCCCACTACCCATTAATGTTTTCTAAACTAAATTTAGGCGTATAAACTACCCGACCCGACCCTTGTTCCTTTTACTTTTTAATGGGTCGTAAGTCGTAACCCGCGAGTAGCCGGCAATTACTCGTAAATCTTTTAATTAAGCCGACGAGAAGCAAATTCACTTCCTCGCCCGACCCGCATCGCATCTTCAAAGATCGAATCGTGCCTGAATTGGACGATTATACGATTGGAATCCACGTTTTTACCTTCAATTCCGGATCTTTGCTGCGATTCAGATCTTTCCAGGTAACCTGCGGCGTTTTAATCGATGACAGGTCAAATTCTAGGCGGAAAAAGCTAGGCGACCAATTTGGTGTCCCCAATATCTCGCCCAGACGCTTAGGCAACGCCTTGATAACTATGTGGGGTAGTTCACCCAAGTTCGAGTCTCAGCGGAGGCATTGACTCGTTGTGCGTCATTAGGTTGAAAAAAGTATGAATAGATACTACATTGTGATAGAGTCAATAGCACTAAAAAAGACTCAGCTTGGAAACATAGTGCTAAAGTACAAATCCAAAGAACGTAACTATTGTATCTGTTGGTATATTTTGAGGCTTAAGCCTCACATCTCCCGAACAAACTGCCTCGATTCCCGAACTAGCCTTTTTAAGCTTTAATTTAGGGCCAAACAACTCTTTCAAACAGCTCTTCACCAAGCACTCAATTAGCTTTTTTGCCACAATCAAAGAGCTCTTAGGCTTCAGAGAGCTCTTATGGGGTGAAAAAGGTGTTTACCAAACACCCCTTCACCCGATGGAATTTAATATTGTATCTTTCACACGAAACGAAGTTAATAGCACATGTGAAACAATGGAAACAAATACATCTAGAAGATATTTCAGTAGAGCATATTTATTAAATAATCTTAAAGAGTAGAATATAACACACCTTAAGATACCTCCCTCCGATATATATAGAATTCCTAAAACATTGAAGTGTCAAGTGACAAGGTTGAATGACCTATAACAGAAGATAGTTCACATGATTTATGCAGCATTTACAATCTTGCAAATTGGTGATTGACAAGGACCACATTCAACATCAACCTAACGATGATATTATGAACGTGAAAATATGTAAATATGTAAAACTACAGATAATTACTACGGGGTACCCTCGATTTTTTGGTAAGACCTCACAAGTCCCACATTATCTCACATTTCTCACAATATCTAAAATATAATCCAGGGCATGCTCGCTTTTCTGCAGGTCTCACATTATCCAAAATATACTTCAAGGTCCTTAAAATTTCTGGTAAGAACTCTCATGTCTCATATTATCCATTTGGCCGTTAAGATTGAAATTTCTATTACTTTGATAAATCAAACACCTCTGGCTACCTCACGTTTTCTGGTGAAACTCGCATGTCACGTATTATTAAATTCTACATGGGATAATCCTAAATATATTAAAGTTTAATAAAATCCTCAAATTTTTAGTGAAAAACAACTAAGATAATAATGATTATAAATTGAAGGATTTTATTAAAGTTTAATAAACGATTATTCAATGTAAAATTCAGCAATATGTGACATGCGAGTTCTTAGCAGAAAACATGAGGTACCCTATAGTAAATTTTTTGGTATTTGATTTGTCAAAGTAAGCGAACTTTCGATCTTAGTGGTCAAATACTCAAATGGACAAAATGTAACATTGAAGTACATAACCACAAATTTTGAAGACCCCAAAAGTACATTTTAGATAATGTGGAACCTAGAAGTTCTTATCAGAAAATAGAAAATAGAAGGTACCCCAGAGTATATTTCAGATAAAATGGGACCTGCGAGTTCTTAGGGTAATATTCTGTGTAGAACTACCTTCTCTATCATATCATTTACATAACCAAAGGAATCTTCTTGTGATTTTAATGAAGTTCCTGTGAATGCCTCTCCTTCAACCTTGTGGATATCAACAGCTAGACTGTAAGCAGCATCTGTTTTTCTCCTTTTATTCTCTATACTACTTTCCGCATTAAGTTTCATTAATGAGTCCAAGTATGTAAGTCGAATGTGAAAAGTGCTTTCCATGTGTTTCAGATCCTACAACAGCAAAAATGCATTGAACCTTTCATAATCATACCTATTTCAGACCAAATAATGCACCATGTGTGTATATAAACCAACAAATTGGTGCATATAATATTAGCATGTGAACAACGTTGAATTGATAAATTGACTTTTGAACAAATATAAAATACAGTATGAAAGAGAAATATACCAACAATGTTTGTAGAGGCTTTATTACTAACAATTTCAAAACTTCTTTAATCGAAAAGCACTGAAATGCAGCTTTTTCCTGGAACCACAGCTCATACTCATACTTCTTTTGCATATAAAACCTGGAAAAGTAACATTAACTCTTTCATTATCATCGTGAAATCACTCACTTTTGTAAAGTTAAAGGTGAAAGATTCCATAGCAACCTAGTAGAATCTCACAAGAGTAGGGTCACGAGAGGGTGGGTGTACACAGACCTTACCCATACTCGAAAGTAAAGAGGTTGTTTCCAAAAGAGCCCTCAGCTCAAGAAAACACATAACGCACAGAAACGTCAGAAAGCAAAGTGCATAACAAAATAAGCACCTTGCAAGTATAGAGACAGAAAAGAAACACACAATGAAAAAAATACACAGAGAAACAGAAAGCACTTCACAGAGAAGCTTACAATAACAAAAAACCACTAGGGCCAAAAACCTACCCAACTGTCGTAGTCCTAGCACTCCAGATGCTCTTATCTAAGATCATATCCTCAATAAGGCCAAACAGTTTTAGGTCATGCCTAATCACGTCCTTCCAACTCTTTCTAAGTCAACCCCTTTCCCGATTCCCGCCCACCACCATAAGCCTCTCACATTGTTGCACTGTAGCCTCTGTATTGTGCCACCTGACGTCGTGTTCAAACCACCTCAACCTACCTTCTCAGAGGTTATCCTCCATAGATATCACTCCTACCCCTCCCCAGATAACCTATTCTGAACCTTATCCATTTTTGCCTCTCCACACATCCACAAGTGAAAGATCCCATAAGATACACCATCCCCCCCCCTTCCCAAAAAAAATAATAATTCAACAACCACACCTACTGACCCGAGTTTAGAGTCTAACAGAAAATCAGAGGTTATTAGATAGAAGAGAATCTCACCAGATAGCTCGATCATTTTTGTTTACAAGTGGAGGTAATGAAACTTCTAGAGAAAAACTACCAATTTGTTGATACTGCTGTTGCCTTACAAGTTCGGCGATTTCTGAAGCAAACTCAGATGCACTATCCTTCTTCATAAAAGTATTATTGTCATTAAAAAACAAAAACTGCAATACACCTAAACAGATTTTGCAAATGCTTGTTTCTGTAGTTAATTCATGAGCAGTTAATGCCTCTTGTGTGCCAGAACTATCAAGCCCATCACCTCCAACTCTCACTTCTCCTAAAATAGTTCGTAATTTTGAATTTGAGAGTGAAGGGTGAGAACAAATTAGCTCATGAAGGCCCAACAACCGAAAGATACATTGAGCGCACACCTGCATCATCATAACAGGTACTCCAGAATAAACTCCAAAGCATCAATGGTCCTTCAATATAAGACGCACACAAAATAATAATAATAATAATAATAATAATAATAATAATAATTAGTAATAGTAATAATTTTTTTCAGCAATAGTAATGGTAATAATAGTAATAATAATAATAATTGGGAAAATAAATTTGGGAATTCATTGACAAGTCAATAAAAACACTCCGGAGTATGTTTTTTTTCATTCAAATCGAAATTTGGGAAAATAAATCGATTAATAGAGCCGTTACTGGTAATGGTTGAAAAGAACGAACCCCCATAGACCAGAAGTCCTTGACAACATTGACAGGCACTGCCCCAACAGCGTCGCGAATAAGCTTCAGAAGATCATTGTCCATGTGGTCCGACGTCAATTGCGTCTCTTCATTGCCGTCGATAACCTCTTTGCTGTCGTGCTGTGCCATTGGACTCCTGTGCGGATAGGTTTCTCCTTGGGGGTTGCTGCCTCTGCCTCAAATTATACTCCTACTTCTACTTGCTAGTAGCCACAGCACAATCTCAGGATAAATTCAATATAATTTAAAATAATAAAATATTAAAAATATTTTATTTTTTTAAAATAAATCTAATTTTACTAAATTTATATAGAGTAAATTTCATAAAGAATCCCCAGTTATAGTTTGTTTTACATGTTTAGTCCCTACATATCAAATATTACCAATTTACTCTCCAATTATTATATCATTTTTCACGAATGGTCTTTTGTTAACGTTTTTGTTAAGAACATGAATAAAATTATATATTCATAGTTCTCTATCTCCTCAATTAAACTTCCTCCCTCATCTTGTACTCTTTTTCAAACTCGTCGCTGAGTTTGAAGCTTTAAACCCAAAACTGAAACGATCATTCATCTCTCAATTATTAGTCTTCCTAGTTGAACCTAAAATCAAAACCAATAATCTTTATGGATGAGTTTTATCGGATAGTCTCAAGAAATTGCAAAGAAAATAATCATTAAAACTCATCCATGAAGGTTATTAGTTTCGAATTTGGGTTCCACCAGTTAGACAAACAATTGAGAGAAGAGTGATGATTTCAGTTTTGGGTTCAAAGCTTCAAACTCAGCGACGGGTTTGGGAAAGGAGTGCGAGGGGAGGGAGGAAGCTTAATTGAGGAAAAAAAGGAGTGTGAATTTACAATTTTATCCACGTTCTTAACAGATATGTTAACAAAGGACCATTCGTGGAAATGAATATAATAATTGGGGACTAAATTAGTAATATTTGAAATGTAGGGACTAAATATGTAAAACGACCTATAACTGGGGATCTTTTATGGAATTTACTCATTTATATATAACTAAATATACTTTTTCCATAATTCACGGTCAAAAAATATTATTGACCAAAAAAATCAAATTATAGCAATCTTTTAGGGATTGAGAGAGTAATTGTACAACAAGCTGTACCCAGAGTTGGATAGGAGATCCCAAGGGGCAACACACAAGATAGACAAAGGAGCAGCGCAGATCGCGAGTGGCAGCGCACCAGATAGACGAAGTTCGCCAGGAACAGCGAAGGTGATGGTGGCCGGCTTGGCAGCGCACCAGATAGACGAAGGTCGCCGGGAACAGCGAAGGTGATGGTGGGCAAGTTAGTTGAGAATGAACACTATTTTATTTGAGAATGAGTACCACTTAATTTTCGAATGAACACTACCTTATTAGTAAATTAATATTAGAGGAATTTATTTAAATTGCACGAAAACATAATGACTTTCTCTAAATAGCACCATATGCGTTTTTCTTCCCAATGTAGCACTTTTAGTCATTATGCATTAATAATTATTCAAGCAAATATTCACCATCACTCGACATTGTGGACATTATTAAGTGCTATTTAGGGAATAAAACAATTTAAGTGCTATTTAGGAAAATGACTTAAGTTTTATTGCTATTTAATGCAAATATTTCTTAATATTATAATAAATTAAACAAACTAGAATCATGCCAGTGCGTTGCACGGACAAAAGTCTGCTTTGAATTTTAATAATAAATTTTTAAAGTTATCTTACTGTAGTATATATTAATATATGTTTATACTCTGAATTGATATTTATGAGATGATTTTTTTACATTAAAAAACTGTAAGAAAAATGAGTAGAGAAGTCATTGCAAAAACATTTACAAATTACGGAGTATGAAATACTTCTTTATAAACATCATTCATAGTTGAACGTTTTAGTCCGCCATTCTCATCACATATTTGTATTTTAAGCCCTTACGAAATGACCTCACCCAGACATTATGTTCATCTAACAATTGCTTTAGTTTGTCCACAATGTGAACATGCAGTGTTTGCATTTCATTATTATCCCTAAGGATTATTGTAGAAGTTAATGATTTAATAAAATAATTATTTTAATTAGAAAATTTGTAATAAAAAATTAAATTAAAAGATTAAAACATACCGCAATGTACTTATTCGATTTGCAATTTCATTTTCTATATCATAGATATATAACTGAACAAAATGGGGAGGAAATCCATTTAAAAGCATCAAAGAACCAATTCTATGATGGATTCTTCCACCAACTTTGTACACAGACGGTGCTCTTCCAGAATTTAGATCTTCTACAACCTTTCCAGCCGTTGATGTAAACGAAAACATACAGTTGTAAGATCTAATATTTGTTTGGAAATGCCTACCATTATGATCCTTATCATATATTACATGTTTCAATAGTGCCATTGGGTCGTTAATTGGTGCAAGTACAATCTTTCCATGCTTGCAACACAAAGAATATTTTGATGGTTTTTACTTAATATTCCAACAACTCGTTCATCATACCAAAAGTACGCCCCAGATTTTGAACATGTAAATGTGTGATCACCAATATCCAATCGTGTAACATCACCAACGATTGTATTGTTTGTTCTCAAAGTACGTTCTGCTATAGTGCTGAAATTATCAATTTTTGAATCGTTGTCATATTCATAATAATCTTCAACTTCAAGTTCGTTATTCATTTGATCTTCATGTACAGGTTCAAAAGACCAACATTGACGCAAATATTCTAACTCAGCGCATTTTGCTCGTATTTCATTTCAGGAAATCTCCATTAAGTGTGGGGTCTAAATTGCATCACTTGTAATTCTTGAGCAAAACTCACAATTTTGGGATGTGTGTATATTTTCCAAAGAATTATGCGTAGAATCTTTTAAGGATAAAGATTAATTGATTATTTTGTTTTAAAAAACTTTGATAAATGGTTTTAAAACTTTTTACCAAGATTTTTTTTTGTGTTAAATGCAAAAAGCAAAAGTTATTAAAAACCTTCGCCCCAAATCTCTTTACCGTTTCAAAAAGTGCGTCCCGTACACTCTTTTTTATTTTTACTTAGAAAGCACCTTTATCTCTTATTTTTTCATACCCTATCTATCACATCATGTTGGAATTTTTGGCATTTTTTAATAGGCATTAAATGAACCAAGTTGGGTATATTTGTCAATAGGTCCACTAACGGTTTTAACTGTTAATTAATGGACGTGTGTTCTCTTAAATGAGATAGATATTTTGATAATTTATTCGCCAACAATGGTAGAGGGTGAATGAGAAATTGATTCTTAGATGAACTGTTGAGTAGAAGAAAATATTTATTATTTTCAAATTTCTACGACCTGTTTTACACGTTTGTTCTAATTAGTTCCAATTTCGGAGTTAACTGACCATTAATCTCCAATTTATAGGAACAAAATTTAAACTAATGTGTATGCCAACGGTTGATAATAATGAACAGAAATGATATAATCATTATGATTATTAATGAGTGTCATTATGCCCATGATAAAGAATTGATCCGTTTCAATTCTTAAAAAATTGAAGACACATGTTAATTGTATTAAATGTTAACTGGCTTTTCATGCTTCTTGGTTTTGGATATATACGTGCACTCAAGAAGAGAAAAAGTGAGATATTGCATATTGTTATTAAAGTTTTTTTTGTTTCCCTCTTGGTTTTCACGAACAAGAAAGGAAAAAAAGAAAGAAAAAAAAACCTTTGTGAGTACAAAAGCTCTAGTTTTTTGCCAAAGTTTCAAGCCATCCTATTCAACGTTTTTTTTGGTTGGCAATACTCCGACGTTGTTCTTGTTCGTTGGTGTATAGTCGGTCCGTACAACCACTACACACGATAGCGGTTTTATCCTGGGAGGAAAGTGCCAACGTTCTCCAGTACGGTAGGCGGGCACTATTACCTTACGGACAGCTCCGGCGACTCCGCTGCCTTTCTACAATGTTCTATTTTGCAGATTTTGTTCTCGAGTTCTACGTCCCAGTTCGCTGCTTCTTTTTAGTGCACAAAGTCCTCATTGTCAACGAAGGCCTTCGAAGATCGGAAGCTAATTTTATTTTATTTATTGTAATTAATCTGAATAAAATTATAAATTCGTATTATTTTATTTCTTTTAGTTTCCGGGACCGTTCATCTTTCCCGTCTATTGTAATCCGTATGATCATTTGTATCAATCTTAAGGTCCAATGAACAAGAACAACGTAGGAACGTTGGCGACCAAAAACCTTTGAAGGGGGTTGCCGGAAAGTTGGCCGAAAAAACAAGAGCTCTCTCTAAAAAAACAAGAAAGTATTTTCCTTTTGTTTTTTTTCTTTCTCACGCATGAAACCCACACATCATGGAGAGTCTCCTTTGATTTGTTTTTATAACTAGGGAATTGTAAAAAAGTGTAACTCCTACACCATTAATCCATGACATTTGTGGCACACTAATGACGTGTTAATGGTGATTAATTAGCCATTAACACGTCCGTTACGCTACGCTCCATTTAAAATTTGTCCCAAACAATTGGAGATAAATGGCCAGTTAACTTCGTAAAAATGGACTAATTTTAAACAATACGTAAAATTAATAATAGAAGATTGGTTCAGTAAAATTGCAATCCTTACCATATTTTTCTATTGACGGGTTAACTCTGAGAATCAATTTCTCATTCAACCTCTACCATTTTTGGCGTATAAATTATCAAAACATTTATCTCATTTAAGAGAATACGCGTCCATTAATTAACGGCTAAAACCGTTAGTAGACCTATTGACAAATATACCCAAGTTGGTCAATTTAATGCCTATTAAAAATCTCAAAAATTCCAACACATCATACCCTTTTATTAATAATCTACACATCATATTTTATTTATACTTATCATATCAAAGTCATTTTTGGAAAATTAACACAAAAATATTCTTTTTTAAATTTCTACTTTAGTCATACTGTCCTAATCTTTTTAGAATGGAGGAAGTATAAATTATAAAATTACAGAAAATTAAACGTATTCAATTTGTTTAATAAATTACAATTATTTATTTACTTCAAATTTAAAATTTTATTACGTTTGACTCAAAAGTTAAAATGGAGAAAATGTTTTAGTACTCCCTATGACGCATCTTCCGTTGATTCAATAATAATAATGGGAAGGAGTAAATTTTAAACCAAAACCAAATGGCTACATCTATCTTTTCTTC